TTCGTGACGGGCAACACGCTCGTTTTTTCCGCGAAGCTCTAGCTCGATCAGGGGCCAAACGGCAAGGGGGTGGTCCAACCGACCCCCCCCCCCCTACACATTAGAAGCTGGCAAACGCCGCACACATGCGAGGGCTATGATAAGCATTAGAACATTTTCTGAGTTGGTCACTCTGACCACCTGATCAGGTGACCTGACCTTGAGAGACCTTGGTCCTGAAATTTTCATAACATGCGTAAAAAGGTGTTTGATAAGGCGTGCCAAAAACAGTGGCGCGAAGCGTCACCTTTTTGAGATATTAGCGAAAACTGCAGGTGGTGTTCATACACCGCTCCCCTAGCAGGGCGTGGCTAGTAGCATGATGAACAGGTTTTGCAAAAGATGAAATAAATACGTGCATATATCTCGCATAATTAACCGCTATTCAATCCTTTCACGTGGATAATATGTACCTGCCTAAACTGAAATACTATTGAGCGATTACATTCCTTCCTTTCCATTAGGAGTACCTAAGTGTGAATCGTCGGAAACATGCATCAGTATTACCACATCGTCACGTGCTGAAGCCGAAAAACTCATTGTCGATCCAAACTTTTGGGTTGGATGAGTTGAGTCGCTTCGTTTTTTCGCTTTTTCGATTTTTAAAGTCACTTTTTCGCTTTTTAGAGTCGTTTTTTTCGTTTTTTCGCGTCGCTTTTTCGGGTTGCTGATCTCGTTTTTTCGGTTTCGCTGCCGTGGAGCTACACCAATGTTATCAAGTGAAGTTGATCGTCTACTGAAGCCGAAAAAGCGAAAAAACGAAACGAAAAACCGAAAAAGTGTGCCGTGGAGCCTGTACTTTAGAAATGAGGGAGCCATGTTGCTACCCAGGCCCGACAAATGGCAATACCTTTGAAACTACTTCATACATTGAAAATGCCTGAAGAAGGTCTATGTAAAGAACGCAAATACAATATATTTACTATTTTGTTTGCAATATTTAGATGCCCGTATAAAGTCGAGTTGCAATGCGAAAACATTCAAAAAATTTCAGTTCATTCTGCTTCAGGTTACCATGGATATAAAACTTCATCATCTACAAATATTCTACATAATAATGTTACGTTCATAGGTAGCCTACATGCATCGATTCAAGCATGATTTTCCCACTTGCATGACTTATTTTGAATTAAGAGCTCAGTGACAAGTAACTAAGGCGAATGCTGTTATGACGACAACTCCGGTGTGTTCAGTAGAATATAATAAGATTCCGACGACGTGGCTTTACCATTTGGAACACAAACTGTCGGTTATTTATAACAGCGGACCTTATTAATGATCGGCGTGAGACCAGTGTATCCTCAACAAAATTAACTTAGTTCAAAGTCTACTAGAGCAATATGATGCGGAACTTATGGACACAAATCATTGCTTTGTAGCTATTGTTCTGGTATTATGACTTCTTCTCACATGATGAAAGGTGTGGTGCTGTATCTTGGAGCGGGGAGGGGAAGCAATCAGCTGACCAGCCTCTAGCATTGATCCAGACGGAACAGCACGCGAAAGAATAGTTTTGCAGTACGTAATGAATCTCTGGACATACAATACATAGTTCGACGAAACTGGTTGTGGTAATGCAGGCTTATGACAAAAGTTGCGTGCTATCTATACTCACTACACCTTTTTAGGCGCAATTTCACAAAGTTAAAGGCCAAATTCAAAAAGTTTACGTTAAAAATGCACGTGAACGTTTTGAATTTGGTCTTTGAAATTTTGAAATTGCGCCTAAAATGCTGTAGTTTTAGTGCCTTGCTCTGGCGGACTTTGGACACCAGAGAACCGCATAGTTTTATCTAATATCCGGTCCTATTACTGACTCTAGAATCGAGTTAAGCGGGATACAAATTAAAAAGCATTTTTTTTACAAAGAAGTGATAAGTACACGACGTCTTGGACACTCATTTATTTCTAATAATCAGGGGATGATACTAAACTATCAATATATGATAATTAATTCATAACCCTCGCCCCGTTGGGGGTCAATTTGCCCCCCCTGTGGTTTTTCCTAAATAGCAAGAAAACTGCGGCGCGCAGCGCCGCCAAATTTTCAGTACCTTCCCGGGCATCAATTTGACACCTTCACACAAAATTTCAAGACTTAGGTCACCTCAGGTCAGGAGTTATTGAGGTCAAACTGAAGTCATGTTCGAGCAAAAATGAGCAAAAAACATGCAATCTTGAAACGCTCACCAAATCTACAGTTACCAAGCAGTTTCAAAGTTACTTATATGGTCATGTAGACAAAAACGGCGCTACAAAATTGCTATCTCGGACTTTCCAAATTTTGGGTTTTAGACCCCCAAAAATAAAGTTTTTTTTGAAAAACTTTTTAAAATATCAAAAAAATCCAAATTTCAAAAACCGGAATATATGTGATAGTCCTTGAGCTCTATATTATATACATACCAAATTTCAGATCGATATCTCGTTTTTTGGCCAAGTTATAGCGAAAAAACTGTTCAAAAATGATGACGTTAAATTTTTGAACTCAATTTTTTAGCGATTTTAGACCACGTAGGGCAAAACAAAGACCACCATTGAACTCCCCGTGATGAGCTGCATCGAACCAATACCCATTTTATACAAAAATATCAACTTTGAAATTTAACCTAATTTGACCTAACCTTGACCTGACCTTGACCTGACCTTGACCTGACCTTAACCAGAACATAATCTTAAGTGACCCCAAAGGCTGCCTGACCCACATAATCGTATTTGGCGTATAAAATGGACCATGATACATGCATCACATGATATTTTCATATTATGACCCTTAGTGACCTGACCTCTGTGACCTGACCTGGTATCAGTGACCTCAAATAGCAAAATATGTGTTTGAAAACATTTTCCCATCGATGATTTTCAATGAAATGCATTCTACTCGATTTTACAACGCATTTCTTGAAATGCCTGCCGAACGGTGAAAATTCGACCTATGACCTGACCTGTGACGTCATCGGTTTGACCTAGGTCAATGAAATTGGGTCACAAGGGAGTTCCCTGGTGGGGCTATCCAACACCGTTTGCCGCTTGGCGCTACTTTGCGTGGTTCTCGAGATCTTAGGGGGGGGGGGGCAAATTGCCCCCCCCCCAACAGGGCGCGTTGCTCGGCAGAGCCCAACGGGGCGCGGGATAATGCTGGTACTGAAACTGTTAAGCCAAAATACCCGCCATTTTGAGTAGGTGTGGCAAGACCAGTCTCGCATCTCTGATACCACGCTAGCCTCTCTCACACCCAGTCATCGACTGGCCTCGTTTCTTAGCAGCCAATTAGGTTTGAGTGTCCACTTACTGGCTCACGCCTCACTTTGCTGAAATAAGTGGCCGGGTTTCTCTGGTCAAGATCGTTTGTACTTGCTGGTCATTTACTCGGTTTAGCACATGAAACAAATCAGTCTTGTTGCTGCCGGAGCAATAACAGGAAGCGATTCTTCATTACCTATATAAAGCTGTTCTTGTCCGCACTGTATTGCACATATAATGGGTGTTCACTAAAAATTGACACAAAGTTTAGCAGGCTGTATCTTCGGTAAAAATATACCGATTTAAACAAACGAGGCATTGTTGTAATGCACATTGCATCTGCTGTAAGCCGTAGAGCGTCAACAGATTTGCCTGATCCCCATCGGTCATTTTTTGGACATTTCCTTGGAAGTGTTGTCACAAGCTCTGGCACCATTGGACCGTGATGTTGGCCAGTTGATGGTGGTAATGAGCAGCCAGTTGATATTTTGTATGAAATCGAAAGACACCAACATACGTTATAGCCTTAGGCAAATCACATTAGATGCTCATTTGTTAAATTTCAGGCGTGGAAAATGGCTTATCGGGTCTCGCTCCAATGAGAATTTTTACATCGGCCGGGGCCCTCAAGGCGCCCCCTGGTTAGTGTGCTGGCGCGAGGTCGGACCAGAAGATCACCTTCTGGTTACATATGTTGTTCTGCATGAACGTCTAGTGCTTAATAATACACTTGGCTAAAAAAGCATCATATTGTAAAGGACCAGTCAGGAGGAATAAAGTCAAACTGATGATATTCTCTGAAATAACACATACGCCACGGCATCCAGCGTTAGCTTGCATGCTGACACTTAATTGGACGTTAGCCCTTGTATTATCGATCACATCACAACAGAACACTTCATTGTCTAGTTAATTGTCGCCCTTTAACTAAAAACATGATTTTTCTACCTTAAATAGTTTAACTTTTTTATGCATTTTTTGTCCCTTGTTTAACCATAGCATATTTACTTCTCTGGCCTTATGTTGTTCCCAGTCGCTTCGAGAAATCATTTGCGCCGGTTGTAACTCAGCCTAGTCTCAGGTGTGATATATCTTCTTCGCTTAGGCACAGTTAATACCTTACTGATCAACAGCATTGCGCCGTGAGGTGTCAAAAAGCCCCTCCACGTGCATTTTCGGGGCCCCGACCCTTCCTCAGGTCAATATCTTCACAATTACACCACTTCAGCTTTTCGGACTCCCACACCCTCTAGAACTTTCGTCCCACTGTACGGTATGTAACTAATTTTGACATTTTAAGTTTTCATTAGGTATTTGTACGTGCCAAACTCTCCCATTGACGTGCTATTTTGGGAAAGCCCGCCAATGGGCTTTTGGTAGTCCTTGTTTAAAACGATCTCCAACGCCACTGTTTTCATTACATCCGTGAAATGTTATGCTCGGTATGATAAAAACGTCCCTTTTATCTCTATGCTAAGTTGCATCGTAATAGCTTGCTTCACCTTTGACATGCAGCCATTCAAAGTTTGTGTCAATTTTTAGTGAACACCTATATTTACACATAATTTCACCCACTCCTTTTTCAACTTTCTGTTGCTATTACACTAACCATTTTTGTTCTAACCACCGGATTTTTTTTTTTTTGACAGCTCGGAGTGGCCGAGACGCGACAGTTTCAAGAGAGGCCAATCTAACCAATTTTCGTCGTTTTTCGACAGCCTTATTGGTTCGAGAGCGTCCACTTCTTGGCGTACTTCATGGCCTACAGTAACTCGCTGTGGAACCCGATCCTGTACGGCGGCTTCAACGCCAGCTTCCGCCAGGGATTCGTCAGGCTCTTCCTGTGCCGTCGGCCGTCCTTCAGCCGTCGCTTTAGCCGGTCACGTGATAAGAATGGTGAGCAGACGCAGTCAACGGGGGACGATCACGTGACAGAGCCGGACACCATCGAAGACACCGTTTGAGAGAAAGGGTTGGTAGGTACTTGGTGCATGGTGGAAACTCTGGGGAAGGCTAGATCGTCAGCCAACGGGTACAGTAGGCTTGAGGGAAGTTGGCCGTGAAATTAATGGGTGAGGCTACTCGGTGAATCGTAGACAATCATAGGCGCCATAAACAACTGGGGAGGCTGGAGATTTGGGTCCAACAATAAATAATGACAAGCTTTGCTTCCATGGAGACTCAAAGTTGCAAAATATCTGAAATTTAGGAAATGTTGTGCTTGCATGACACAAAATTTGTTCTAAATTGGCTTCATGCTACCGTTAGTGCCCAAATAGCCTGAACATTTAATTATCACTAACAAAAGCTAACCCGGGGATCAGGGCTTACTAACGTTTGATCCCTTCCCTTCTACTAATTGCAAGTATTTTGGAAATATCTAACAGCATCACTTGACGTCCCATTTAATAACGAGTGAGCTAGGAGGGTCTTTTCAACATAACAGCAAAATGTCAATGTTTAATGAGAAGCCTGACCTGTAACCGTTTTAGGAGGCGATATTCAAATGATTAACTTCAATTTTTGCAAATGGCAGCCCTACATCCGTTTCGCAACTTGCCGTCTCAATTGTCACAACCCGCACCCATTAGCTAAAGGCCTCACTTTGCACGTCCACACCTGCGGGGCTCACTATTGCCCTCACTCGTTCTACGCCCCCCCCCCCCTCCGAAGCGTTTTCCGGTACGACAAAAATAGCCTCTGTAGTCTGTATGTCTCTGATATCCACAAACATCAATTTATCCAGCTCACGTCGGAGCTCTCGGAGTTTTCTCACGTGCGTCAGAGCCATTGGTAACTGTCCATCAGCCGTCCTCTGACCAGACGTGGTGGGCTGTGCTGATAGACTCCATTCCGAGTCATTAGTGTTACGGTGTAGGGTATCAGTCTCTGGCAGGGACACGCGTCGGTCGGCTCTGCGGTCCCTGACGGTTGAGAACTGTCAGATGTGAGCTATCAGCTCAGATAGAAAACTGTCAGGTGTGAGCTGCTAGCTCAGAAGGCTGTCAGATATGAGAAGTCAGCTAATAGAGGTGTCAGCCTAAATAACTGTCAGATAAAAACTGTCAGCTCAGAGAGCTGTGAGATATGGTCCGCCCATAGGCGGCGGAACGGGGAGGGCACCGAGGCACCGTGCCCCCCTTTCATTTTGGCATTTTAACATAAGCCCTATGGGCGTTGCATGGAAAGGATGGTACCAAAAGTCGGCAGTGCCCCCACTAATTGAAGGTGTTCCGCCTCTACTGGGTCCGCCAAATGCAATGCAACTGTGGCAACTTCTAGTTGGGAACCCTTTCAATAAGACGACGGTCACCGCAGATAGATGTGCACGGATGATATTCATACAAATAAAAAAGTACGAAATATATGTATTTCTCGGCTAATAAAGGTTACAAATTCATCGGTCAATAGCTGCACTCATCATTGTCATGGTCAATTCTAAAATAATATATTTCTTAGCAATGCCCACTAAAAGGATAGCCTGGAGCAGCTTAACCAGCTCCTATTTTGCCTCGCTACATAGACAAACAACTAAAATTACGAATGCAGCTGTAGCTTGATTGACCCTATGGAATATAGATGGAATGGCTGTGCATTCTAATCACATGTTTGTTATTGCTTTTCTGCGAGCATCGACAATCCCAACAGACCCGCTCATATGCCTGGTCCCTATATTTCCCAACGGAATACTTCGACCAGCTAGTATACTCATTAGCTATAAAAGAAACGAAAATGTAAGACAAAAAATGAGAAAAATATAAAAAGAATCGAAATATCGAAAGTAAAGCCCAATTCTTTGTCTCGTGCGCAGCGCCAGCCATCGACTGTACCGGTATTCCTCTCTTTCGCGAGGGTCCCCTTTCCATCTCTCCGTGCCTCCTTGTTCTTTGTTAATTTATGTGAGTAGCGAGTAGTTATGTGTCAAAATCGAAGATCATAACTCACCATTGCCGGTCGCGGAGCACCGTGACACCGCCCCCCATCAGGTCTTACTGGTGCTGACTTTCCTGCTGGTGTCCGCCGCTCGACCTGCGCCACGGCAGCCACCATCACCAGTGTCGCTCCACCACCACGATCATCGTCGTTCGTAAAACGACACCGAGCGGTCACTGTTCCTCTACCATCCGCCCACTCTCTCTCCCTCCCCGCCCGGGGTGCGACCTAGCGGCCCCGCCGCTGAGTTGGGCCCTCGGGCGGTCACGTGATCGGTCGCGGCAGGCGCGGTGCCAGCGCCCGGCGCCGGGGGTGCAGAGGCAGCCGGGCGTGGCGGCGCTTCATTCGCGCCCGGCGCACAGTGGCCCTTTTTCAGAATTAGCACGCATTAATTCCCACATTACCTAAAAGTGGTGCAAGACATCACCACGTGATCAAGGACGTATTCCCTGCAAATGCAAAGAGGAGAAAAGAAACGAGCTGCCCAAGGAGATTCGGCCCAACAGCGACAGGCCGCTCGGCCCAAGATTTGGCGCACGTTCGCACGGCTCGCCCGCCGGCCCAGGCCGCTCCGCCGCGCTGCACTGACCGCCAGGACCAGGGTATATAGAACACCCCAGGACAGGCCAGGACGCCCCAGGGCGTCACGTGACCGCATCTACAGCTGTTGCCAGCCACCGTTAGTCGGCCCCGGCCGGGCAGCAACTAAGGTCAGCGCGACGCGAATAATACAAACACATAGGCGCTTTTGACGTTAGATCTTAAGCCGACCACGGGACTTGTGCGGCTTGGACATCAAACGCGACAAGAAATCGGACAGTTTTTCTTGGGCACAGCGTTATGCCTACATGACATTTCAATTAGCACATCTTACGGCAAAAGTCAAGCCACATTTAGGCGCACACCAGGTGACACCAGCTTCGAGCCAGGTCAATGAGCTTAGTCGTATCGAACAGGAGCCACAGCCGCTCGCGGACTGACCTGGCTCACGTTATCCACCGTAGAAGCAAAATGGCGCAAAATGGCGCGATGCCCTTTGGTGGACATGGTCAGAAGAGATCGGCGATTCGAACGATGTATAATACGACATGTTCCAGAGTGTTCTACTTAACATAAAGCTTCATATGTATGCCGCCATCTCCAGTTAATAATTGTCCTGTTATTGTGTCCACAATATACGGCAAAAGTGGTCTATTTAAGTTTATACAATGAAAATAGTGGTTTCTAGGGCTTCTACGTAAACTCAGCTTCACAGCCATGCCACTAATTTTTAATATTTTCTCATCGAAAGTCTTACAAATTGATGTTCATCTCACCCTACTTTTTAGAGTCCGCCGGTGGTGTCCGCGCGCCTTTCGACAAACTTCGATTTTGCGGTCAGTTTTACCAAAGATAATTATTTTTTAGGTGGTAAAAATGGCACCATCGGATAGTTTGGAATGTTTTGCACACGATTAGACTGCTTTTTACTCAAAAGAAGAGAAAAAATATTTTGAATTTATGCGTGCTAATTCTGAAAAAGGGCCACTGTGCGGCGGTCAACGATAGAATCTTCTGACAGGACTGATTGACGTGCAGTCTCGACTCGCCAAAATCGTGTCTTAACGTAGTTAAACTGATGTAATAGCGACGTTTATGTAACTCAAGGGTTTTGCTGCTACGTTATCTACCGTAACTAAAATAATTGGCCGTGCAAGTTAAGCTAGATGGTTGGAAAGAATGGAGGGAGGGAATGACCAGTGAGTAACCACCAGCTCCCAGGCGATGCCCGTGGCACCGAGCTGACTGGGGGTGACAGGGGGGGGGGGCAATACATTGGGGGGGGGGGCATATTGGACAGCAATAGAATGACAGCTACACAGCTTGTAGAACAACACATCCTTCCTCTCCGCCAAAAGGCACAAAGCTGTCAAGGTGACAGCGTGGTGAAAGAGAGTCCATTGACCTAGAGGAGGGGTGTGTTACGCCGTGAGGGGAAATCGCCGGCCTTCTGCGCACTTGACAGGAGGGTGAGAGCGGTGATCCGGCGCGACTGCCGGGTGGACATCGAGGCGAGACTGCGTGATAAGGGTAGCAGCCCTCTTTACGGCGTTTCCGCCTGCCTGACGGGTAAATGGAATGTGTCACGTTTCACAGAAACGACAGTAGTTATTCATTTGGGGCGCGAAAAATTCATTAAATCACGCAACTGTAATAAGTTTGTCAGTGTTTGATATGTTAGATTGATATGCTAGTTATGACACAATCACCATGATTATTGTTTACATTGCTCAAGCGAAGCGGTAAGATAAAACGCGATTTAATTCACTTAATAGTCGTTTCAACGTCTGAAAACGGCTTCCGACTGAGACTGATATTCTCGGCACTGTACTGGAACATACATATTTCAGCAGGGCGAGTTCCACCATGTCAAGGATTTACCGCATTCAATCGTAACTTTTGTCAGAGGCTTCCGTTTTAATTTGTCTTGCACTAATCCGTCCGCGAATGTGCTCACCGCTGAAACTCTAACCACTAATCAAACTCACGCATGTCCTTGCATATTTCGCAAGTTTCCCGACTGTTAACTGTTACCCCGCATTTTTCTCTAGCACCCGCGTAACTTCCGCTTGCGTCTTAATTTGTTTATTTACGCAGTTTATGATTATACTGTTCCTCTCTTCTTGACAGGGTACACGGCTGCTCTCGTGCATCTGATGCCTCACCATGGAACCAGTTCCCGGCGTACGCAAATGACTACCGTACGATGAGAGATGAATCTCACACGGCGAGAACTGAATCTCACACGATGAAAACTGTCTCACATACGGTGAGAACAGGGTCTCACGCGGTGAGAACCTGTGAGAGATGGACTTCGTTAGAGTCGCCGTACTCCGAAGATGCCATTAGTCCCGGAAAGTGGAGCAGTAACTGCCAGACTTCCACTAACTTCCGCGCCAGATCCAGGAAATGAAGAAAGTGGGGCTCATCCTCGGACACCACGTGATGTGAGCGCGCCACGTGAGGGATAATTGTCACGTTATGTCTGGTCACCACGTGATGTGATCTTACCACATAATGTCCGGTTACCACGTGATATGAAATCGTCAAGTAGCTCCAGGTTTCCGTGTGCAGCTACAATCGCCACAACAAATCAGTCTGGGATCTGAGTGAGCTCATTAGAATCAACCTATCAAACTGATTTAAATATGGGTCCGGTATGATCCAATGCTCGACTGAGATGCTACGAGGTCTTGTGCACTTCTGATTAGTCTTGCGGAATTCAGAAGAACTATGCAGATGACTGACGGATGAGAACGCGTATTTATGTCACGGAGTTAACCACTTCACTTTGCTTATTCAGCTATTGAATTAGAGTTGTTTGTTTAACGTTACAATGAGTTTCTTTGCTTTACCGTCGGCAACAAAATACATTCATGGTAGCTTGCTGGTGGGACAACTAACATAATTAGCTCCTAAACTTCAGCCCACATGAAATTATGTGCTGCAATAATGCAACGGAGGCGATTATGTACGAAACAAATGTGCCAGGAACGAGAAAATATACCACCAAAACGCGACCCGGGCAAAAAGAGTAAACAAGTTTATTGAGAGCCATCCTGACTTGACTTCCATCAGCAAATACTACAACGATTTTTATATGGATAAACAACAGCTGAGAGCATTTGTTTATTTTGACAACTAAGTGCTGAAAAGGCATAGAATAGTGGAGCAGGCGATTGGGCACTTAATGCATATGCATGGATATTTAATTTCATAGGGCTAAGCTAAGGTGTCAAACAATCTCCTGCTTATAATCTTTCTTGCTGCCATTGATTTTTCATCACAATAGGAGGCAAAAACTACCGATAGGGTCGAATTTTTCTCCTCAATCTTATTTAATCTGCGGCCATGAAATCACTCAAGATTTCTGCAAGTGGCCATAATAATCAACTATGATCCTTCTTAAGTGGTACTTTTATGGAAAACTTAGGAGAGAAAAGATGTTCGAGAAGTCGTGCTAGAACCAGTGGCGACAGAAATTGTCGTTTTCTCTATTCTGTCACCGTAATAAATTTTATTATCGAAACCAACGATGACACTTAGCCCAATGTAATCTCGTTAATGTCAAACCAATTGAATTTGTGGTGGCTCGCACAGCGCATAACGCTCAATGTTGTAAGAGTCGACGCATAATTCGACAAAGTAGCCTGACTTAAAACCGCCAAAGTCTGACGAAGGCTGTCCGGCCCTTGCTTTTTCTGTGAAAATACTACCAACCTCTTTTCTGTAAATATAACTGTAAAAATAGGTGCTTAGTTTGTGTCATACACGGTCACCATCGTTTATCTCCTCGAGAGCTTCAGTGTCACCGGTTGAACTCCCGGTGTGTAGCGTGGAAACGCATGGTGCATTTAGAACCAGCATTGCTGCATGCTAGCGATTGCGATTGATAGCGATGCAAATCGATTATGTGATTCCAATTGATTGGCAGCATAACTACCTGTGCTAACGAAAGTGAAAAGCCCCAGTTTTATGTGAAGCCTCCAGCACCCTGTTTTTATCAGTGCCATGTTACCAAGTGTGGTCTTATTTCTAACTTTTAGGTAGATACAGGTGTTCTCGAATTATGTGAGTAAGGTGAGCTATCCATCAAAATGATTGTGTCTCATTTAAGGACAATGAGACAATGTACCGCTGGCTGATTCTCTGCGAGAGAAGATGTAAGGCACTAAGGCAGCTTTCAACAATGACCTGACTTGTGTCGAATGCGAGTACAAAGACGAGTACATGTTGATAAAAAGTTGACCTAAAAATGAACCAGATATCGTATTTTTCGCTAGGTGTGAAACACTCCTTATGCCTGAAACAGACTCTTTCCGCAGTCAGGAAATCGCATGCGAGAGCCTATTCAAATACATGGTAGCACGCTCGCATCAATCGCACGCACCTCCAGCAAGCGATTGATGCGAGAAAAATTATAATGTATTTGAATAGGCTCTCGCATGCGATTTCCTGAACGCGGAAAGAGTCTGTTTCAGCCTTTAGGGTATAGTTTAAATGTGTGCATGGGGTGGTGCGTTATTGTTGTAACGCTTTGAAGTGTTAAGATCTAAGATAAGAGTGTGACTTTCCATGTTGCGTCGTATAATGCTCTCTCGCATACGAAAGACAACTTACAGATAATGTATCCACGTAGTTGATAGAATGTGTCGAAACGAAGAATTGTCGGGATTGACATGGTCTGAGCTTTGGTGAAACACTTGCGAGTGCTCAAGCTAGTCGTGGAAACGTAGGGTAAGCGTAGATCGCTTGCGACCGTAACACAAATCGACTATGTGTTTATCATTTTGTGTGACTTATTGAAACTAGAAATGACCTCAATCATATAAAGCTGAACGGTATACATCTATATTGTACACCATTGTATAGTATATAAATGTATTTTGTTATAATTTAGTAGGACTGGATCCTAAAAGCGTGTTTCGTTGCTCGTATTTGTACATAGTTTTGTTGAATGAAACACATGTAATGATAACACTAAGCGTCCTCGCGATGAATTCCATAGCGTATGCTAGGAGTATCATCTCATGGCTAGGCGGCTGAAGCAACGCTTCGATAATGGGCCAACAATGGCTATGATTGGATAACGTACAACTTCGTAGTGAGCGTAGAGATATCCTGTCTTTTGAGTGTAAGCGTGGTGACAGATATATGAATGACTATTGTATCGTTCCGATGACCGAATGCGTGGGTGTTGGCTTTGCAGTAGCGGCTTTAAAAACGTGAAATGTTTGAGAACAAACATTTGCTGTTCATTGGTGAATGTCATGGCAGACTCTGAATGTGTCTCTAAAGAATGTGTAAATGTTGACAGCATTTTAATGTTTTCTGTGTTCTAGAAATATTGTTCGGCTTGTAATAAACCGATGGCCTATCTTCTTTTCGCAAACTGAATCGAAACTGGCTTGCATTGAAGTGACCACAAAGCATTCGCAGCGGACCAGAAGCGTCTCTAACTTATGTTCCGAATTTCGAGCAGATGTCTTATTTCGTTTGTTGGCAGCATCTGTAGACATGATGAGACACTTCTTGTGTTCGAAAACGCCGTCTGATAATTAAAAAAGTCTGCTATTTTTGGCTCACAACAGGATTCTGTCCTTCGGTCATGTTCAAGTGGGCGCGCCGAAGCATTGTGATTGACACACACTTGGAGACGTCGATCCGGCATCTGAACAGACGAAACAGCAATAATTCTGCTTCAATAAAGGCACTTTCAGTGCACTGACAAAAAGAGCAATTGCAAGGACAAAATTACACGCAGCATATCCTCATCTCTTACTTATATCAGTCAATGTCAGTCTCTTTATGTAACCTTCTCTATTGGGAAAGGTGAAAGTCGCGTCGCCTGTTAGCTTCGCATGACAGAAGAATAATTCCACCTCGATGAACGCTGCCCTCAGCGTTCATCAATCAATATGGGTGACTGAATACAGCAAAGGTCAGCTTAAGCTCCATAGACTGTGAGGCATCTAGCTTTGCGTTTCATTCCTGCACATCACTAAATGATCGACCTAATGTGTCGGTCAATAAAGTCACCATCCCTAAATAAGCAGCAGTGAGCCGAATGTAACAGCCAGTCACAAACACAAAACCAGCATTAGAACGTGCCAGAATCCAGGGCAAATTTAGCATCCGAGCGTGTCAGAAACCAGCACTAAAACAGCACCAGAACATGTCAGAATCTAGCACTAAAACAGCACCAGTACGTGTCAGAATCTAGCACTAAAACAGCACCAGTACGTGTCAGATGTAGCACTAAGCTGGCATTCAAATGCGTTGGAATCACTGCTTCTGGCCCGCCAGCACTGTATTGCTTACCAATTCACCGATCGTTTCAGAACCACCATTATTAACCCGCGCCCTGCTGGAGGGTGTTTGAACACCCCCCCCCCCTTGTGGTTTTTCGCGAATATCTCAAAAACGGCGGCGCCACCTTATCATACATCAATTCTACACATGTTGTGAACCAAGGTCATTCAAGGTCAGGTCACCAGGTCACTTGAAGTGACCTCACCTCATAAAAAGTTTCAATGTCTGTCATAGCTACACCGAGTGACCGATCGCTTTGAAACTTTCAGCGATTGCTAAGAGCAATAGCATGTACAAAATGTATATCTCAGAATTTTGATATCGATGACCTAAGGTCAGGTCAATTTTGCGACCTCCCCATTATAAGTCAATGGGAGAAAATTGAAATGCGCCTCTTTTGGACGAAAGACATTATAAACACTCTCAAACACCGAATTACAAGTGGTTTAGACACACTGAACATGAAAATGGTGTCCGTGACCCTTGTTAATGCCCTGAGGTCATCTTAGGTCACGAATGGCATCTAACAGTTTATCGCAAATAACTTTTGATAGAGGCATGCTAGAGCGATGAAAACGCCTTATATGTATTCAGCTCGACGATACGGATCGACTGATATGCAGCATGACCCTTTCCGGTCAGATCATGACCTTGACCTGAGGCCAAATTTTCAAGTTGACCTTTCAAGGTCAAGTTATAGTTCATTCGATGCGTCTTGACGAGAGGAACACGATGCCGGTGAAAGTAAGCTCGTACAAGGCTTGTGTCAAAAGTTATTGCAGAAAAACTGTTTCCGAAAAAAATCGGCTATTTTTGCAATTTTTGCCCCCTGCAGGCAAAACCGTTGACGTTAGGTCAAATCTGAGAGGATTACTCAGAAAGGGCGTTTATAGGGCTATCGAATGCGCTTTTTCGCGGCGCTGTAGCTCTATTGGTTCCCGAGTTATGCGTTGGCTTTTTGGAAATTTTCGACATTCGACCTGGAAATCGGCGAAATTTTGCCTTCAATGACCTCTGGTGACCTGACCTTTGACCTGACCAAAAAATTGACCGAAGTGATTTCGTCATTATTTTTTACGCTCTTTCGAACACCGCCTTCCGCGTATCGCTACGTGGCCCAGGAGCCGAGTTACAAGGGGGGGGGTGTTTAAACCCCCCCCCCAGCAGGGCGTGGAAATCCAGGACCCCCAGCCGGGCGCGGGTTAAATCAGCATCAGAAGGTGCCAGAGTCATCTCCACTGAATAGCACCAGGCGAGCCTATCAGAATTAAAGCCACGAAATTAAACTCGAATGTGCCACAAACACAGCGAACTCAACAGCGAATGTGACAGAATCGCCGCCACTAAATCAGCATCCGACTACATCAGTCACATAATCGCCACGCAGTTTTAGGATGTGAATCGTTCATGATTGTTCAATACAAACACAAATGCACGTAGTTGCGAAAACTTGCACACTCTAAAATGCATGTACTCGTACTCTCAATATGATACATCAGTCACCATAAATACATCAGAGAGTCATGTCACACACATCCTCGCCTGCTCCTCCTGCGTCGAGAGGGTCTGTGGTCTGTACCAAGATTAACTTACGTCTCAATTAGATTAGATTACGTCGTTTATTGATTACATACGTTACGCCGATTTGCACTTAGTCTTTCACCACGTTCTCCTTGCTCTCTGAAAACCGTGTCGAAACTATCACATTTCTTTCTCTGAAGCGCAGCCGCGGACCCAAACACCCCATAGGTAACGATAGAGTTGCAGTGCTTCACTAAAATCCCTATGTCATCGCTCCGAAACGGCTGTCGATCAACGAAGACAGCATCGTCGCTGTTGGCGACGTTTTGACCACGCTAGATCATCTCATCACTTGAGGTAAGAACGAGCGGACGTTGGTAGCCTTTTCTGGCCAGATTGAGGCGCATTTGATGAGTGAGGGACACGAGATGACCGTTCAGAAGCCTTTTGGAGCCACTCGAAATAGTCTTTATGACCCACGGACACCGAGATAAGAGTTTTGTCTTTCACCAGAATGGGATAAAGGCGGTGATCGGCCCATTCGATGAGATTATGGTTCCACTTTGGCTCATGTAGTGTAGCGCCACGACGAGAATAAAATTAGAACAAGGGACACGGACCATCGTTGATAAGAACGAAAGTTTCCCGTCAGGCAAGGCAAACGGCAATGGTGTCATTTTCTCCCAACAGCACGTGTGTCTATCGACAAGATGATGTTGAACAGCATTGCAGATTGCGAACTAGTGTGATACTCTATAGTTATACACTAATGAAATGATTGAGTGATTGATAGTATTGGACAGTACGATGTCTCCTTTATCTGTATAATCATAGCACTTCTTTGACTTAAAATTTCAAAGCTGCTATTTTACTTCCCATGCTTCCCATGGTGAAAGTTCCCTTATAATTAAGTGGTTTCGTAATGAGAGATGGACACAAATTACAACCGTTTCATCTAGCAGCGAACCTGTCCGCCAGTGTTTATTCAGTGCTGGAAGTTGCATTTGCACATCTGACCAAACTACATTATACTGAGTAAGAACAGGCATCATGGTGAGCATAACAACTCAAACAAGGCAGCTTGATTTCAACATGTTACATCGTCCACCGACATTTACCACAAAGCACGGAAAATGGGTAAGTTAGGTGGGAATTTAAACTGGCAACATAGGGCGGAAATTTCCAAGATCGGTACATTTCTCCGGCAATCGTTGTCACTGAAAGGAGAAAATCGCCCGTGGGTGTATACTTGACTTTTTCTGTCATCCAGACCTTCATCCAGACCTTACATTACCAAGATCCGCCAGTATCACTAATGGATACCGATGCGTCAGCCGCCCCACGTATTATACCGTACATACAGCTGTGTCCATATGAACGACAGCTTGATCTAATGCGTTCCTGATATCATGTAAATGCTTATATCGCATGCTGAAAAGGGAGACCGGTGACAGAGTAATGACAGGGCTTGCTGGGTAGACCAGCTATAAGTCGATCAGTAGTCTCCCGAGGCTAATGTCACCACCCAGCTTCCTGCCTGTCAGCCTTCCGACATCAACGCTTGTCATGGGTTGGGATCAAATCACCGCACAGCCACATGCTCTGGGGCGGTGGACCTATATTTAGTATGATTATAACGTCGGTTATTGATGAAGCTCATTACTTAGACGATGAGACAGAAAGTTTAGACGCCACAGCACCCAAAGTCTTTGATGCTCAAATTTAACTGTCGGGGTCATACTTGGGTCACATTTGGGTCGCTTAATAAATCTGATGGTCCGGAAACATATAACAATCATATTGAACTCATGGGAATCATCGATGGAAATTGTCAAACATTCTTATATCTGTGCACTCTGAACTTCTGGATACATTCTATTGTGGCATGACCGACAATAAGCAAATGCATCATGATAAAATGAGATGTCAAGATACTACTGAATGGAAACCAGGATTTGCACGTCGTATTTTCACCACGCTTTGTTATGTATGTATGTACGTACATACGTTCTTATACAGTATACCTAGCATTTCGCCTATGACCTATCTATGTAGTTGCCATGACACTGAGCAGCCCACATGCTCCGTGGCACAGATTGGCGCGTCTGCAGATACCTACACATTGCTCATGCTCGCAAACACGATAACACCGGACGCCCCTGGGCGTTATCAACCGTGCAGGAAAGGGGAGGGGTAGAGACAGGGCTGGGGTCAGTTCCCGGACCACAACGCGCGGTGTTTTCATCATAGCCATTCTGTGAATGCACAAGCTACGTTGCTCGTAGACAGTGGTTACTCCCTCAAGATTCTTCAAACCAGGCCCAGCAAATTTACCACCCACTTCAGTGTCACACACAGTCACCAGGCGGCTATCGTGAGTGAATCCCCGACGCTCCCCGATGGTCGGCGAGTGATCGGGGCCTCCTTGCGGCCGATAGCAGAGCGCCAGGGAGCGCCTCAGTTCGGCATTGGTGAGTCGGGTCGAACACAGGCCTGTGCAGAAAACTGTTGAGTAGTGAAGTTAGCAACCCTGAAGCTGTGACATGCGGTGCTAAAAGTGTCGGAAAAATAAGTGCAAATGGTGTAAGAAAGCGTTTTCGAAAGACAGTCGCACATTGTGATCGTGTTGCGAAAGGAGGCCTTATTGGCCTGCCGTGAACAGTGACCGTGGCAGAAGGGAGTGAAACCGACACCAGACATCTCCACTGCGCGGCGACACGCGTTGATTGGGTTTTGAACATTGTAAGCAGGTGACCGTGAAGGTTAAAAATAACCTGACCCATACGCACAGACGAACTCATAACAACCAGGTCAACGGGGTTCCTAACCTCCCTCGGGAACATTCGGAATGGATTCAACAACGATCGGCATTGACCTCGGCACTACCTACTCGTGTGTGGGTGTCTTCCAGCACGGGAAGGTGGAGATCATCGCCAACGACTATGGCAACAGGACCACGCCAAGCTGCGTCGCCTTCACCGATACAGAGAGACTTGTGGGCGAAGTGGCCAGAAGCCAGGCGACGCGGAACCCGGAGAACACCGTGTTTGAGATCAAGCGTCTGATGGGGAGGACATTCGACGACCCGAAGGTGCAAGAGGATATCAAGAACTGGCCGTTCAAAGTTCGCGACGACTGTGGTCAGCCCAAGGTTGTGGTCGAGTACAAGGGAGAGGTGAAGAAGTTCACCGCCCAGGAGATCAGCTCTATGATTCTCATGAAGATGAAATCAACGGCGGAGGCGTATCTAGGAACCGAGGTGAAACAAGCGGTCATCACGGTACCGGCCTACTTCAACGACTCGCAGCGCCAGGCGACGAAGGACGCTGCCAAGATCGCCGGTCTCGAGGTGAAGAGGATCATCAACGAGCCGACAGCGGCCGCGCTGGCGTACGGCCTCGACAAGAAGCTCTCTGGGGAGCAGAATGTGCTCGTCTTCGACCTGGGCGGCGGTACGTTCGACGTCTCCATCCTGAGCATCGCCGACGGCTCCACGTTCGAGGTGCTCTCCACGGCTGGAGATACGCACCTTGGCGGCGGCGATCTCGACAACAGGATGGTTAAGTATTTCGCCGATGAATTCAAGCGCAAGTTCAAGGTCGATCCCACAACCAGTCCAAGAGCTATACGCAAGCTGAAGATGGCGTGCGAACAGGCCAAGAGGGCTCTATCTTCCACTTCAGTAGCGACAGTTGAGATCGACTCCTTCTTTGAGGGTATCTACTTCTTCAGTAAGATCACAAGGGCTCGCTTTGAAGAGCTATGCATTGACTTGTTCAAGCAAACGCTGGAGCCAGTCAAGCAGGCTCTCGCGGACGCTGGACTTAAAAAGTCTGACATCCACGAGGTCGTTCTTGTGGGTGGCTCCACACGTATCCCGAAAGTCCAGAACCTCCTCGAGGATTTCTTTGACGGTCGAACAATCAGCAAGAGCATCAACCCTGACGAGGCGGTGGCGTACGGAGCATCTGTCCAGGCCACCATTCTTTCCGAAAACCCCACTGATGCGTTCAACGACGTGCTACTCATTGACGTCGTCCCACTATCTCTGGGCACAGACGTAGGAAAACACAGCATGGCCACCATCATTGAGAGAAACACCCGCATACCAGTGACGAAGAGCCAGTCGTTCTCCACTGGAAGGGACTATCAGACCGCGGTGCATGTCGGCGTGTACCAGGGGGAGCGAGCTCTCGTCAAGGACAACCACATGCTGGGTGAGTTCGTTTTCGACGGCCTGAGGTCCGCTCGGCTCGGCGAAGTGAGTGTCAACGTCGAGTTCTCCGTTGACACTGACGGCATTCTCAACGTCAGCGCCAAGGAGATGCAGACGGGAAAAGTGATGACCAAGACCATCTCCAACGACAAGAGTCGGCTGAGCCAACGCGAGATCGAGCGTATGCTCCAAGAGGCACAGATGTTCCAAGAAGAGGACAACGCCAGACGTCAAGCTGTCGCCGCTCTTCAAGAGTTTGAGCAATACGTCTACTCTGCCGGGCGAACTGTTGAAGAGTCTGGTGGCGGGCTGTCGGACGACGAAAGACGCACTGTTTTTCAGCTCACCGGAGAAGCCCAGAGGTGGATGGACTCCAACACTCTTGCGGAGAGGGACGAAATCCAGCACCGGTTCGGTGAGCTGAGGGAGCAGCTTGAGCCGCTTCTCAACAAAACTCGCCAGCAACCTTTCGGTGAAACACACCCCGCAAGCGAGGCACAAGGAAACACGGAACGGGAAGGGTCAACGAGACGAGCACGAGACGCGTCACCTACTGGATCACGGGATGGACGGCGTGATGAACCAGAGAGTAGATCACGTAAGGGATCATCCGACGGATCTCAACATGGATCGAGAAAGGGGTCGCGGGACAGATCGAGGAAAAGTCTTGGCGGATCAAATGATGGATCACGGAAAGAATCGTGCAAAGGAGCGCGAAAGGGACGTCCGGATAGCCCAAGAGACGGATCAAAGGACAAATCACAAAGTGGATCACGACATGGGTCACGGCACGAATCACAAGACAGTGGAAGTCGTGACGGGTCACGTGATGGATCAAAGAAAAAATCACGGAAAGGGACACGAAAGGGACATCGGGATAGCTCAAAACACGGGTCACAGGACGGAGCACGAGAGAAACGAGACAGAAGACGGGACAGATCACGGACGGGGTCACGAGAGGGATCACGCGACGGATCACAAGATGATAGACGGGACGGATCACGGAAAGAATCACGAAGCTCATCATTAGACCGACGTCCGGACGAAGAACGGGGTGGAAGAAAAAAGGGGAGCAAATCACGAAAAGGTTCACGTGACAGATCACGAGAAAGGGGAAGTCGTGATAGGTCACGTGATGGGTCACTGAAAGACTCACGGAAAGGAACGCGAAAGGGACGTCGAGAGGGCTCAAGAGACGGGTCACGGGACGAATCACGGGAGGGATCACGGGAACGTCCACGAAAAGAAAAACGGGATAAACGGCGGAACAGATCACGGGATGGATCACGAAATGAATCACGTGACCAACGAGAAAAACAGCGAGACGGGCGAAGGAGCGAATCACGAGGCGACTCACATGAACGTCACCGCGACAGAAGAGAAAGAAAGCGAGACGGGTCTCGCGAAGGATCACGAGACGACTCACGAGAACGTCGTCGCAAAGAAAGAAAGGACAAACGAAAGGACAAGAGAAGAAGCAAATCACGAGACGAGTCGCGAGACAAACGACGCGAGGGAAAAAGAGACGGAAAACGGGACGGAAAAAGAGACGGAAAACGTCGAAGCTCTGAAGAACACCCCTCCTCTCTACGCCCTGGGAGCGATAGTGACGAAGCTACTCGTCAAGACTCGAAAGATCGCAACGAGCGAGACGAGGGCGGGAGACCTGACTCACTTCTTCAGGATCTCCTGGGAAGAAGGAGGGCCCCACGAGCCTCCAATTTGGGTCTGCGTGGTGGTCTGAGAGGAAAGTGGGCTCTGCCGGATGACCTATCCCCAGAAAGGGAAACAACCAAACCGTATACCACTGTGGATGATCAGGTGGATTAACTGGATTTGGGATTAGGTGGATTGGCGTATTAGGTGGGTGAGTGGATTAGGTGGATTGGAGCTTTTGTGGATTGAGATTAGATGTTGGGTCACGGATTAAGGACGATTGCTGTGCTTGGTAGTTATTTTCAGCATTGCATTCGCCAATGTGATGATGAGCTTCAGTTATGTGTTGGTTTAGCTGTTCACGTTGAATTACTCGTAATTTCACATGGTGTGTCAAAAGTGGAAATAGCCGGTGCGCCGTCTGGCAACCCGGCAGCCCGCCGCCATAGGAAAATTCATGCTTTCTGTCGCTTTTTCGCCCCCTATGAGTCACTTGATCTAATTAGAGCTTAACTAGGAACGAGGCGGGTCACTTGGACGTATTCGGGAGCCGAATACGGTGTTTTGGAGCCAATACCTGGGAAACCCTACCCGCCCAATGCCAGTTTTTAAGAGTCTGCATGCCCAAATTAACGTTGAGCGCGGCCGTTTTCGGTCGGTTTTCCGCGACCTTGTGGCGAAATCGCCTTATTTATTCAACCAGGGTGGGCTAATTCGCTTAACTAGGAATGAGGCGTTGAAGAGAATTATTCAAGGAATAGAGATGTGCAAAAATATTTTTTGTATTGTTAAAACTGTATCCGCCCTCGAACGATAAATATTGTTGACCCATCAGAAACACATCACCTAGAATGCGTTTGGAATTGGCTGGATCTAATATTAGCGAGTATCTGCTAATGCAGTTTCTTGGCTTACATAGTACGCACACAAGCATGCATACTTCCTGCCCTTGGTTATTCCTCACTTGAATGAAAATTTTGCTATAATAACTATTCCAAGCAGTTAACAGGTTTTAGTGCAGTGCCAATTCGGGACCGTTCAGCGCCGCCAGTCTCCCAGGCGGCGCGTAACGGCTGCCGCCGGCCGCCGCGCCGCCGCTCTTGCAGGGTGTTTGACTTCATATCTCTGTTGCTAGAAAAGTTGTGGACCGATTTACTTGATTCTTGCATGAAAAGATCCGCCATTCAATTCTTAGCAGATAACGAAAATTTGACGTCAATTGCACGATCCGTTGCCCATACTGTGGTACTGCCATCTATTGACAAGGCTGGCGAACTAAAGCCGGGCGGCTATTTCCACTTTTGACACACCATGAAGAACAGTTGTGCGAATAGTTGTTCAACCGTGGCTGGTGTCCAGTAGCACAGATTTCGTATCTACATTTGCGTGTGCGCTCCTGAATGAATATGTTGATTGTTCGCAATGACCAATAAATAACTATAATCACGAAATGAAAGAGTCAATGTCTTTTCCATGACAAGACAGCTACCATAAAGCTAAAGGAAGACGACGTAAATACAAGCACAAACAGCATGAACATAATTAATTTAAACATTTTGAACTCAAACGTCACGCGAACTTTCGGCAATAGCTTGAAAACAAACGATCCACACCACTGCACTGCTTTCTAGCAAGTTTCGCAACCTGACAACATCCGATATTTTTGCTCGGTAACGCCACTGCTTCTCAATCTCACGAAGGCATTTATTGGATAATTCTGGGTAAGATGAAACAATAAGCCTTTGTTGAGTCTTGGCTGGTATTAGCTTCATTGCACAAGGCCCAGTTTCTGATGAAAACTGAAGGTTTGATTAGCTCGAGCGGGTCACGTTACGAATTTTACGAAAGACCAACTTGCATTGTGTATTTAACTTCATGCAACGTGTGCTTCAAATGATGTCGGAACGTCTGAGAATTATACAATTAGGTATATGTATAGGTATTTATGCATTTAAAACTTTCCGATCTACGCCATGGTCGAGTCATCACACATAGAAAATAGAAATACACTTGGGAAGCACAGGTATTTGAATTCAGGTATTTGACAGCATGGGGAAAGACGGTCTCTACATTTTGAAATGCGAAACAATTTTCAACTGAGAAGAGCCCCTACAAACTGACATCGAGCAAACCAACTATTTTCCCCATTTCCTGATGGTCAAAGAAAACTTTTCGACCATGCATGTGTAAATAACACCTTACACGTTAGCTATGATAAATCATCGAATAATTCAAGCTTTAGGCATTTACTTGCATATGTGTATCTAATTTTAAGCACGGCACATTTTACAGTGTCGCCAGGTAGCTAGCTCAACGGAAGCATTGCACGGAGGCACACAAGAATTGAAGGCCTTAGGAAGGAAGGAGAAATATCCTTTGGAGACGAGTATCGCGCCAAAAACGGTAAACAAAGCATTCCTGGAGTGAAACGGCTTAGAATTTAGACCAAGACAATAGGCGAGAAGTCTTGCCATAATGGCTAAAGCCACCACCTGCAAAGAAGCGTTAAAACAATGGGAGGAGCGTACGGGCCAGAAGGCCTCAGAGGCCAAGGAGGTCAAACTCAACGGCGTATGGCCCCCGATCGAGAAAATGGACAGCAGCCTCGGCCAGCTCGCTCTCTGCGAGAAACTCTCCCTCTCTACCAACTCCATCGACCGCATCGCCAACCTCAACGCGCTGAAGAACCTGAAGATTCTCTCACTGGGTAGGAACATGATCAAAAACCTCTCCGGTCTGGAAGCTTTAGGTGACACACTGGAGCAGTTGTGGATCTCTTACAACAACATCGAACGCATGAAGGGAGTCAACGTGCTGCGCAAGCTGACTGTGCTCTACATGTCCAACAACCAGGTCAAAGACTGGACGGAGTTGGTGCGCGTCAACGACCTCTCCAGCTTGGTCGAGCTGGTGTTTGTAGGAAACCCTCTGGAAGAGAAGTACGCAGAATCTGGCACGTGGCACGACGAGGCCGCCAAAAGGCTGCCAAACATCAAACGCCTTGACGGCATACCCATCGTGCGCTGAAGCGGTACGAAACATGTGCTCTCGTGTGTCTGAAATGCCGAGGGAATGTTGGAAGGAGCAAGCTTTGTGTCCCAGTTTCAGGTTCGTGTTGTTGGTTTGTGTCGAGGTGGTTGTGTGAAGAGGAACAGTTTTCGTCTGTCATGTTCGAATCCATTACGGATGAAAAGAAGTTTTAGAGATTAGAATGAGTCTGATGAATTCTACTCTAGTTTTCCATACAATAAAGCAAGCCAGGTCAAGGCTCAAATTCAAACGACGCTATCAATGTAACCCGCAAGGTACAAGCCAATTCTCACACCTTTATCCGATATGTGCCAACTAGCCGCCAATTTAGGCCTTATCCGGCACGTCTCCATCTAAATCCAGACCTCAGTCGGAGCATCTGAGACCGGACGTAGTTTGCATATTCAGCCGTGTCCTATTTTGCTCAGCTCCAAATCTCGTTAGTTTCCGCCCACCAGTTCCGCTGAGGAGTTATCTGTTTATCTCCTTCTCGTTCCACACCTAGACTGCTTTCTTGCTTTTTCGATTACCAATTCCCATCCCCAAAAACACTCATCTGACACAATGTTGGCTGTATTGTGAAGAGACCGAGCTATGCACCTACACATCTTCCGGTCCCCGGACAACTCATACATCACATCGGACACACCTGACGTCACGTCATTACGTCACAACATCCATCACACATCAGTCATCACAGGATGTCGCACTTTACTGTCTAATCTCAGCGTACAGGAATGATGTCAATCTCACACGAGTTGACGCAGCTAAAAATTGTCAAAAAGAGCGCAACACCGCCTGGACAGGCTTTCTCTCACGGAATTCGTCGATTCTTCTCACACAAAACGGGGGGGGGGGGAGGTTGGAGGATATGAATGATATGTTAGGATCTGTCCGATCAAAGATCTGCAAGATAGCGAGAGGGAAGACGGCGCACGTCAGATCTCCAGGCAGAAAGCACTTGTTTCAGTTCTTACAAAAAGGACGGGGACCCAGGGAGCCAAAAGCGACATCACAGCGGAAAGCAAAACACGCAGAAAGCGAACCAGAAGATACAGTGAGAATGGAAAGATCAACGTATTAGATTTCTAGTCGACAGCGTCAAGACTTGCTCAGGAACACTGCTACAGTAGACGACGACAATAAAACATATAAAGGACCTTTTTCACCAGCCCCGTCAGTCTGTCAGCCAGCCGGCAGAGCGAGACGATTGCTGCGCATTATCCCGCGTCTTTGTACGTTAGCTCCTCAAATTGGCGCGCTTTAACCGACTTCCTTGAACACCTACGGCCACCCAGCGCGCCAAAATCGGCCGGGTTCGGACAGAAAACAACCATAAGGGCGCATTTACCACGATACCACCGGCGGATTTCGCCTCTAACTACAACTGACACTTGCTCACGTGCAAACAAACGTGAATATACAAAAATACTTGACACAAAATATTGAGTTGATTGCTCTGCGTGAAGTGTGGACGCGCGGCGGCCTGCTCTGGAGAGCCCAGCCAGCCTCCGACCCCGTTGTTCTCAAGCTAGTTGCTCGCGTGCGAGCGCGAACAACACAATAAATACACTATTGGGGCACCGAGCAGAGAGCTCTCAGGATAAACCAGCAAACCGCGGCTCTTGTCTCCAGTCGCCCCAGAAAAGGACACTCCTTAGGAGCAGACAACTCCAGGGCAGGGAGACTTAGCTCCTAGACATCCACGAACATCAATGTAGAGAACCACTACGCTCAACACCTAGATAGTTGGCCACCCTTTGAAGACGGATAATCAATCTCGAGACACGCTGACATGTCTCAAAGTCTCACACATATCCCTCGGGCCGCCGTTTTGAGATTTCTGGCCAGTTTCGACAAATCCTAGTCCTGCCTTATCCCGACCACCACGACGAATACATCATCAGCCGGCGGGCGGCGCATCTCGACAAACCCGGCGACTTTCGAGATAGCTCGCCGATTGGCATCGGAATCTACCGACACGACGCATCGATATCGACGAAATCGACGCAGCGACGACGGAATAGACGCATTGACGGCAACGGAGGGGTGTACGGCTCACTTTTTCACTAGGACTGCCTTCACCGGGTACATTGCGGCGCTCCGCGATGGCGAGGGCGTTGTTTCTTTGGCTTGACACGTGACAGGCCGGCAGAGACCCTCACACAGCCGATACCTGGTCCTCATCGTCATCTGAAGGTGAGAGGGGGGGGGGGGGGCGGCGATAGTCACGTGATCCTCATTGGAAGCTGGAGAGACGAGGTAAAGGGATAAACTTGAGACAGGAGGGTCAAATATAAAGATATGAGCCATTCTTACTGCAGTGAGATTTAGAAAATTAGGCAAGTCCATACAATGCAGTTAAACACTAGCTTGGCGTTTGTAAGCATTTGAGCAAACGGAGAAGTGGTTCACGAGCTTGGACCCTTTTAATCATCACTGAGCAAAGCAGATTTACTATAATAACCGTCTTGATAGGGAGAGATCCGTTTTCCGATATGGACAGTTAATGAAATACGGCGAGCCTGTGCTAAAAATAAGTCGACAAAGCTGCTGCTGTCATTCCAAAAAAAAAAAAAAAATGCACCGTCACACAATATCTGTGTCTCTATATCTATTACGGGACTGTACCGAGTTATCATTAGAGTTCGACAAAAAATGTAACGTCAGATCTATTCATACATCTAAAGAATATCAACACAAATTTAGGCAGTTGACAATGGTCAATGTATCCCTACATTCTCACAAATTGAACGTATTATTCACGCGGTTTAACCCCATTACCCCCGTATGATGTACATAGGAACAACGATCCAATCTATGAACCAGTAAAACGCCTTTTGGGCGAAGCACAAGCAAGCGAGAGAGTGAGCCTGGACGTACGGAAGGGCGAGAGGGTTTGCAACTGGCTCTTGTACTGCACCCTACTAACCGGTTATTAGCGGTGTGCTAAATTTGAAGGTAATCGACTAAGCCGTTCCCGAGATCTGGAAGCAGCACCCTGCACGTGCGCACGTGCAAACTGGGTTCAAAGTGACTTTTGCACGGCACTCTACCAACCGGTCCCTAACTGCTTACCAAATTTGAGCACAATCGACCCAGCCGTTTTGGGATCTGGAAGCGTTCCCTGCACGTGCGCACGTGCAGTAGCACTCTAACCGTAACGCATGAGAATGGATTGCCTGGTAGGTGCCTATGGAATCAACCAAGTAAGCACAAGTGTTAAGTAATTAGCAAGTTAAGTATAAACATAATCTACACTCCCAAATGACTCTCTCTCTCTCTCTCTCTCTCTCTCTCTCTCTCTCTCTCTCTCTCTCTCTCTCTCTCTCTCTCTCTCTCTCTCCCTCCCTCCCTCCCCCTCTCTCTCTCCTCCCTCCCTCTCACCATCTAGATCCGAGTCAGGATGTCTCCCGACCGCTGCTGCCGCCGCCAGAGCGCCATGGGGGGCACGCGGCGGGCGGCCGGGGCCCCGCCGGCGGGACTCCCGCCCGCCGCTGGCACCCGCCCCGGGCGGCGGGCGCGGCCGCGGCGCCGGCGGAGGCGGGATGTAGGCGGCGCCTAGCGGAGGAGGCGGGGGTGGCCGGCCGTGCGCTCCGCCTGAGGGGGGGGGGGGGGGGTGAGTATGTAAGTTCGTGAAAGAGGGACAGGGGAATCCCCGGATAGAAAACTTTACGGAGGAAATATTAAAAACAAAAACAAATGGTGAACGTTGAAATGACTGTCCGTTGCCTAGCAGTGGTGAAGGTTTCCACGACATAAGAAAACAATCCATATGAATTCCACACTTTGCTAACGCAGCAATTTTCCCAACGACACATCCATAGACCAAACACATATCAATCTCTTGCTTATCTACTATTAACTCCTCGACACCTTTGACCTATTAAACGTGTCTCTTGCCAATCGTTACAGACTCTTTGACTCTCTTAATCTAACGACTACCTAACTCCTCCCACAATCAAGCCACCCCACATTCAATCCAGACTCACCCGGACCCTGTTTGGGCAGATACATGTAGTGTCTCATTGGCGACGCAAACAGATCCCCAGCGGCCGCCACTGCCCCGCCGGGGCCGGGCGAATCAAACCGTGGCGGGTCATAGTGGTGCGGCGGGTAGCCCGGTCCCACGGCGCCGGCCTCGCTCGAAGACACGGATGACACTGGGGAGGGATGACACTGGTTAGATATGGTGACACAGTTACGGTGACACATGATAGATGGTTTGTTTACAGTTGTGTGTTCACCTGTTATTAAAACATGCCATGTACTCAGTACAATGACAGATGACATTGAAGGGGATGATGACACTGGTTAGATATGATGACACACGTCTGTGGTGACACATGTCAGGTACGATGACACAGATGACACGGGGGGAAGGGAGACACTGGCTAGATATGTGGACTGTGTTAACACGCAGAAGCTAATTTGTCCGTACAGACGACATCGAAGGATGTCAGGTGACATCAGACATATCAGTGAAAAAGCGATACAAATGCCAAATACGATAACATTGATGGTATTGTAAGATCAACGGTACACATTACCACGAGAGAAAATAAATAACTGCAGACTGACCTGTTGCGATCTCGACAACATTATCTAACGAAGTCCCGGCCTGATAGAGCCTCGTTACATCACTTCGCATTTCTCTCACACCTACGTCAGCCCTAATTGTGCCTACCCAGCGCACAAGTCCTTCACACTCAAAGCAACCTGATCTTGTTCACTTGCGCTCCAGCGCCAACCTAACAGCTCTATCTCCGCCGCCACCATCTATTACGTCCGGTTTGCCACCGTTTTTACGCAAGATGGGTGCGTCACTGCCAGGCTTGTTAAACAGCGCCTGTGTGCCTTTTTGTATGTACATTTCCTAGAAATATCTCTCATGTATCTCGCCTTTACCACATGCCGAGATATCCCTTTAACATTAGCACGTGCATTTGGGAAATGGCTTCGGCCCGCCTCGGCTAATGTTGAAGGTATTTGGGAAACGATTCGGCCCTAGGGCTTTTTGATTTTCCCAGACAAAGTTTTACTGAATATTCTGAGCGGAAGAACCAATTTCAAAGAAGATATTTACGGATTGTGTGTTCACTAACAGCAACAGCAAAAGTAAGTGACTGCGTGTTTACATACTTTTGCTGTCAACGTAATTCAACTAAACAAGGTTATCGTTCCAATGCCAATGTATTAATTGCTGCAGAACATGGTCGGAATAATCATTATTTCTAAATAATGCACGCAAAAAAAACGAACAATTTAAATGCGTGAAGCATCTTAACGTGCCACAATGAAACATTTGATATTGTTCCAACTGGGATCCAAGACGCGTTTGATTCAGCGTTTCACCCAATTTTTAGTTTTCCTCACGGTTTCCTCACTCCTGCTGGACTCCATATCTTTATTCTAACTTCTGGCGTTTCACCATCTTCATCCTCAGCTTTTTCAAACCCTAAATAAGGGGGAAATAGGAATTTCATCTTTCATACTCAACGCAGCCTAATAATGAAAAACACAAGCAAATAATCACGGTGACTATAAATATGAACATAGTATTAATATAATATTAACACAATATTAAGATTAAAGTGTAAAATATCAAATGAATATGATATTAACTGTTGCGCCGGTACGGCATGTGGTAAATCTCTTCCCAACCTTGGGCTGTGAAAATGCAGTTTTATTCACCTCGGTTTTTGCTACGGACCTCGTGCCTACCGGCACTCGGTCCTCCGCACAAAAACCTCGGTGAATAAAACGCATTTTCCCAGCCCCGGTCGGGAATATATATTCCCATTAGGTAGGATGCTGCGTGGAGTTATCAGTACCACCCTCAAACTAAGCACCAACTGTGCAATTTCCGGTATTATATCTCAAGCCCACACACTCGCTTTTTCAGGTACAACCTCTCTTTTTGATTAGTCCCCTGAAGTCTTGAGAAGATAACCCCGGATAAGTTTCTATGATATACGTCGTCTCTCAGCTCTGCTACCACCATAAATCTTGCCTATTTTTACCGGTGTCTATATATTTTCAGCACAGGCATGCCTTGATTCGATTAGCCCTAACCAACCGTATCAACGCTCCGACTTCAGAATACCTACCTACCTAAAATGCGCGCCCCTTTCCCATACAGGCCATCCAACCGACCGCTTTCACCAGCATTAACACTCGCACCGACGGGGTCTGCGCCAACTTCGTACCGACGGGGGGGGGGGGCGGATGACCCCCCCCTGAGATCTCGAGAACGAAGCAAGATACCGACAAGCGGTAAACGGCATCGGATACGCACAGTCAAGGTCTACAATTTTTACAAAGGTCATTTTCAGGTCAGGTCAAAGATGACGTCACAGGGGTCGAAAAAGTCAAAATGGCGGCGCTAGACATGGAGAGTTTTTCTCGAATAACTTTCGAGTTAGTGAAGATAGGAACAAACTAAGGGCATCATCGTGATCCTCTCGTCAATCCGCATCGAATGATATATATGTTGAACTCGAAAGGTCAAGGTCAAAGGTTGACCTCAGGTCACGTGACCTCGAGGTCATCATGTATATCATTCGATGCGTCTTGACGAGCTGAACACAATGAGACCATCCGCGCGGCTGTATCTTGTTCCTGTACGGAGTTATTGGCAAAAAACCTTTGATGACGTCACATGACCTTACAGCTGCCCAACAGCAAAACAGATCTCAAGGTAGTGAAGGTTGATCGTATATGAAGTCATGTATGGTATATGGGGCCATTCCGACCCGTTTTAGTGGTGAAAACAGGGAGTTGATTTTTCCCCCATTGACTTATAATGGGGAGGTCGCGAAATTGACCTGACCTTAGGTCACCGATATCAAAATTCCGGGATAAACAAATTGTAGCTACTAATGACCTAATAACATTCTGCGACTTTCAAAGGCCTCCGACATCTACTGTAGCTCTGGCACAGTGACAAAGTTGCAAAAAAGTGACTTGAGGTTGGGTCATTCAAAGTGACCTGGTGACCTGACCTTAAAAGGTAGGAGGTTCAAACTTGCACACCATGTGTAAAATTGATGAGGGAATAGTCGTACCAAATTTCGCGTAACGCCGCAGTTTGCCCGCTATTCGCGAAAAGCCTCAGGGGGGGGGGGGGGCGGATATCCGCCCCCCCGTCGGTGCGCGTGTTAAAGCGCCCAACATGCATGTGCGACTGCCATACGATGAAATCATATTACAAGTAATAAGAGGAATAAGTTGAAGCTGAAGTTGAAGCTGTCCATCTAAAGAGGCCCCTTGCAAATGGCCTGCGACTTCCTCGCTTTCACTTTTACTTTACCTTCACGATATTCCTAACCTTTGAATGTTTTCCAATTTGTTTTTATAATATTTGAACACATTTTTTTTCACAATAGGGTGAAGTCGTATAAGAGTACGCACTTAGTGAATTTCTTGCTCTCATTTGTTTAATATTTGAAAGAAAGAAATCGCAAATAGGGAATATTAAAGTTCATTGAATTAGCCATCATCCCATGGGGCAACGATCCTTTAGCGTAAATGGAAGTGGTCTAAAACTGACATTTTCTGAACCGCTGCAGTTGCGTACTCTTACCATATGGGGTGTGTAAGAGTACGCACGCCAGGCGGGTGGAGTACGCAAGCATATGAACACACACCTATGCAGCTTGTACTGTCCAAATGCTTAACTTCAAACTCAGAAGGCATTTAAGTTAATTCTAGTATCCAAAAAGAAAACATAAAATAAGTCTTTCAAGTCTATAAATCAGTAAATAATCATGTCGTGTGTTTCTTTTAAAAAAATGCACAATCAAAAGGGAGAATAACTCGTATTTGGAAGAATTTCGGGTACGCATCTGCATCACAGTGCTCCATTGATGATATACCTACGAAACAAACGTCATTGAGCGATAGATTAATAATTGTATATTTCTGTATATTCGATTTAATGTATAATTCTGCGTACTCTTACCCTCCTGAACAGTGCGTCCTCTTACCGTACATGCAATTCGCGCACAAACAACCCCGAAACGTTGTGCAAAACTTCGCAAACAGAATATTGCACTGCACAGTATTTCCCCAGATAACCTCACAAGTTTCCCACAACAATCGCGGGAATGTACCTTATCTCAACTGCCAAGTATCAAAATTATTGTACCATACCATAATAATATCATAACGCTCGAAAATAATATTCATCGCCTTAAACTCAACAGCGTCGCCGCTCAACGCCCACGTTCCGTTGGTGATAAGCACGCACTGGCGGCTTCATGTCACGTCATGAACTCGACAAACCCGCGTTGCTAAGCAACCGAAACAGCTGATGCGTACTCTTATCGCCCGCGTACTCTTACCCGCCCTTACCCTAATCCACTGATTTCGTTATTAAGACGATCTTGCTGGGTACTTACCGCTGTTGTGCGACTTTCTGAGCGGCATGCTGGTCACACTGCTGCTCTCGGGGTTCAGGTCGACGGGCAGGGTGTCCGACTGAGACCGCTCGTGGCTGCGACCTGACGGAGTGAGATGGGGGGAGGAGGTTTGTCAGAGGCGAGGTGGTTATAGCGATGGTTATTCCAAAGGCAAAGAGGTTATATTGATGGCTATTTTAGAGGCAAAGACATCAGGATACAGGTAGTTAGTATACAAGAGATGAAATTAATAAGTCATAGCACAGAAATGGTAATTACGAGCGAGCGAGCGCAGCGAGCGAAGTGAGTCTTTTCAATATAACGGAAAAATCTCAGTATGAGCGGCCCGGCCCGGCCCGGCCTGTAACGCTTTTGAGAGGCTTATATCTCAGCAACCGCTGGACCGATTGGCCTGCGGTCTTTTTTGCTGGGTAGCACCATCCCTTCTACCCCGTAATTGACTACTTTTGATACATCTCAGTGACCGTCGTGGCACGTGCCACGTGAAAAGTCAAGGGTGTTCAAGCTGTTTTGCAAAAGTAGTGATTTTGAGAGGCTCATATCTCAGCAGCCGCTTGGGCGATTGTCTTGCGGTAATTTTTGTAGGGTAGCTGCATCCCTTCTACCAAAAATAGGATACTCTCGATGCATGTGGGTCACCCCCAGTGCACGTGCAAAAATACAACAATAAGAGGTGTCAAATTTGTTCCCATTTTAATAACTCGGTAATTACTGGGGCGATTTCGCTGAAACATGGCATACAGGTAGGCACCCACCAGGCAATGCATTCCCACGTGTTGCGGCTTGGGTGCTACTGCACGTGCGCACGTGCAGGGGGCGTTTCCTGATCTCGAAAACGGCTGGGCCGATTGCGCTCAAATTTGGTACACGGCTGGGGACCAGTTAGTAGGGTGCCGTGCAAAAGTCACTTTGGACCCCGTTTGCACGTGCGCACGTGCAGAATGCCGCTTCCAGATCTCAGAAACGGCTGGGCCAATTGCGTTCAAATTTGGCAAACCGCTAGCAACCGGTTGAAAGAGTGCTTTGCACAAGCCCGTTGGAAGTACCTTTCGCCCTTCCGCACGTGCAGGGCTCACTATCTCGCTCGCTCGTTCTTCGCCCAAAAGGCGTTTTACTGGTAATAGCATACCAGAAACAGGCCACATCAAAGCACTTCGCGCTGAGAGACTGTGACATAGAGCCGCAAGTAAAAAGTCTCATCAGTCGGACACGAATCCAGTGATCAAATTCATGTAAAGCGCCGTCATCTCATATAACGGTACATAAGTCAAGGCCTAAGCGCAACAAAGTCCGGAAAATAAAACACGATATGATTACAAAGTTATAAAATGTCACACCAATA